TCGTCAGAATGAATTCGACGGCCTATTTTGGTGTCATCGGCAAACTTGCTGATATCGCTCTTTATGCCCTCATCTATGTCATTTATGTATATTGTGAACAGCAGGGGGCCCAACACTGACCCCTGTGGAACACCGCTCGTGACGCTTCCCCACTCTGATTTCTCCCCATTTATGCAAACTCTCTGCTGCCTACTTGTCAACCATGCCTCTATCCAGGAAAAAATTTCTCCTCCTATTCCATGTGCCTTAATTTTCCTCAATAGTCTCTGATGTGGGACCCTGTCAAAAGCCTTACCGAAGTCCATGTACACAATATCATATTCATTACCATGATCTACCTCCTCAAATACCTTAGTGAAAAAAGTTAACAAATTCGTAAGGCAGGAACGCTCCTTTGTAAAACCATGCTGAGATTCGTTGATTAATTTATGCTTTTCAAGGTGGCTACGAACTGCCTCGGCAATTATTGATTCCATAAATTTTTCCCACTATGGAGGTTAGGCTTATTGGCCCTATAGTTTGAAGCTAAGGACCTGTCACCTGCTTTGAAAATAGGTATCACATTTGCCATTTTCCACTTATCTGGCACCATGCCAGTTTGTAGTGATATGTTGAAAAGATTAGCCAAAGGTTTGCTAAGCTCCTCTTTACATTCCTTTAGAAACCCTTGCATACAGTTCATCAGGGCCTGGGGATTTGTTAGGTTTTAATTTATCTGTTTGCCTAAGGACCATGTCACTTGTGACCCTAATCGTGCACAGTTTATTATCGTCCTGTTCCACATAATTTATCATTTCTGGAATATCGCTGGTATCCTCCTGTGTTTAAAAACTGAGAGGAAGTATGTGTTAAAAAATTCTAACACATTTCCTTATCACTGTCAGTGAGTTGACCCGAGGAACTTTTGAGTGGGCCTATCTTGTCCCTGATCTTACTTCTGTATACCTGAAAGAATCCTTTTGGGTTAGTCTTCGAATCTCTTGCAACTTTAACCTCATAATCTCTTTTTTGCTTTTCTAATTCCTTTTTTTATTTCTCTCTTTAACTGAATATATCGATTTCTTAATTGCCCCTCCTCCTCTTTTGATTTGCCTATATGTGCCCCTCCCTTTTGACCAATTAGATATTTTAATCTATTGTTCATCCATTAGGATCATTTTTGTTTGACCTGATTTCCCTATTTGGAACATAATTTGACTGAGCAGCTAGAACTATGCCCTGGAAAGCGTCATATCGGCATCCATCACCAACTACCTGACCCTTAGTCAGGTCATTCCAGTTCAGCAACCTAAGTAATTTTTCAGTCCTATGAAATCAGCCAAGCGGAAGTCAGGGACAGAGACTTGATTGCCATTATTAGGGGAATTCCATGATATATTAAAACTGAGTGATTTGTGATCACTTTCCCCAAGCTCATCATTAACCTCAAGATTATTAATTAGTGTTTCCCTACTGGCAAGAACCAAGTCAAGGAGGTTATTTCCCCTAGTTGGCTCTGTCACAAACTGTTTTAAAAAACAATCCTGGATCGTATCAAGAAAGTCACCTGACTCTAAATTTCCTGTCAAATTGCTCCAGTCAATCTGTCTATAGTTGAAATCTCCCATTAGCACAACATTTTCGTTTGTAGATGCCTTACGAATTTCGTCCCATAGAAGTTTACTGCACTCCCTATCAAGATTTGGGGCCCTGTAAATCACACCCAAAATTAGTTTTTCTCAGCCCATTCTACTGAATGTACAGCAATGCATGCAACCACATGACCTGTCTTTGTAATACTCATTTGTGCTTTATTGTTATCTGTTTACAATAATGTTTTATCACTGATTACATCATTGCTTAGTTAATCTTAAGTTAATTTTAAGCCTGCCCATAATGCTATGCATACAAGTGGCTTTGGCATGCTGCTCTTACCTGTATTTTTTGGTACCTCTGTATGTTTACCTGGAGTTTACCTGGAGAGAGTTTCGGGGGTCAACGCCCCCGCGGCCCGGTCTGTGACCAGGCCTCCTGGTGGATCAGCCCCTGATCAACCAGGCTGTTGCTGCTGGCTGCACGCAAACCAACGTACGAGCCACAGCCCGGCTGATCAGGAACTGACTTTAGGTGATTGTCCAGTGCCAGCTTGAAGACTGCCAGGGGTCTGTTGGTAATCCCCCTTATGTATGCTGGGAGGCAGTTGAACAGTCTCGGGCCCCTGACACTTATTGTATGGTCTCTTAACGTGCTATGCCCCACCCCTGCTTTTCATTGGGGGGATGGTGCATCGTCTGCCAAGTCTTTTGCTTTCGTAGTGAGTGATTTTCGTGTGCAAGTTCGGTACTAGTCCCTCTAGGATTTTCCAGGTGTATATAATCATGTATCTCTCCCTCCTGCGTTTCAGGGAATATGTATGTTCAAATTATAAAATAAATAAAATATGTAAATAAATAAATAAATTTGACTGCATTGAATTGTGTCTGCCATTTCTCTCTGACAACAAACATCAACCGATTATCCAGGTCATCCTGCAGCCTTCTAGTGTCCTCATCAGAAATTATCTGATTGCCTAGTTTAGCATCATCGGTAAACTTACTTATATCTGCATATACTGGTACTGTATATATGCATGACCTAACCTACTGCAGTGTACAAAATCACCTAATTTTGTCTTCCCAAGACAGAACCATGTCTGTTTTGTCTACCCAACTTCAAATTATGAATTCATCAATTTTCAATTCCTGTATACTCATCCTGTACTAGACTTAAGTAAATGTAAGATAAGGTAACTTAACCTAACCTAACCTCATTTTATCTAACCAAACCAAACCTAATTTAACCTAACTGATTTTTGCTAATATCCAGAGGCATCGCTAGGGTTGGTGTCACCTGGGGCGGAATCTTTGGTGTCACCTGGGGCGGCATCTTTGGTGTCACCCCCATGAAATCCAAGGGCGGGGGGATGGGGAGAGTAAACTCCAGTTATGTCAGTACTGCATGCCAAGTAACTAATGTTTAGCAATGAGAACATTTAAGGGCCATAAACTGAACAGGAGAATACTTCTCAACTTTATGAATGATAAAATAAATAATCATAGTAATATTAAGGAAACATAAACTCAAATACCACTTTGAGTATAGGCAACAGATCCTACATTTATTCATCTTCAACAGTGCCAAAAAAAAAAAAAAACTTGAAAAATAAAGAAAAACATTGCAATATCAGAGAAACACTAGTTCCAATTTGACCTTGAGTATAGGTAACATCTCAGTGAATCTGACCTTACATTTCCTTGCCTTCAATCCTTCAAAATCATCTATCACATCAACAAAATCAATGATTTTCCCTATATAGGCCTATTTGTACTCTGTAATCATATAACAGGCTATAGAGAAATGAAGGATTATTCTCTTATGTTGGTGCAGCACTGTTTTGGGCATTAGTGTCACCTTTAGAGGCTCTATGGTGTCACCCCTTAAATGGTGTCACCTGGGGCGGCCTGCATCCCCCGCCCCCCCTTACGATGCACAAGAAAAACTCATTTATTCCATAAGGTACATCGGTTGTATGTAGTGAAGTGAAGAATAATGACCAAGTTCCACCATGTAGTTGGCAAATGCATTGTAGACTTAATTCATATTACATTAATTAGGCAATGTCAAGATACAGTACAGCAGAACTCAGACATAACACAAGACACAGAAACCTCTTTGATACCCCCAGAGTCGGACTCAACCTGTGTAAAAACTCCCTGCCTGATGTCTCTAAAGGTCCCCTATTTGCCAATCACTTCAAAGTTATTGTTAAAAAGCATCTCATCCTCTTAATGTAATCCAGGCAGCAATTCACTACTCAATACCTATCCTCATCCACTTACATCCCTGTTCTTCTTCCAGTCTTCCTTCAAATCCCATGTATAATTGGTAATATGTATTGTCCCATTAGATTTATATTATAATTTAAGTAACTTTGTAGTACCCACAGTCAGTGGCCAGGCGTCAAACACCTTTTATTGTACAGCAATAAAGGAATGGAACAGACTACCCGCACATGTCAAAGCCAGTCATAGCATGAACCAGTTCAAGAAGACTGCCAAAAAGTGTCTGATGAATGAAGCTACAGAAAGGGAGGGGAATGATTTTCTATTTTTTAGCTAAAATACGTGTAAATTTTACCTTATTCCTTGTAATGACCCTCGTATTGTAGATAGTCTTAATGACCCTCGTGTAGTAGATAGTCTTTTTAGTATGATAATAAGATGTTATCTTCATTGTAGAATAATAAGAAAATATTATAACCTTTATATTATAATAATAAGGTAAAAGGACCCCAATGGAAATAAGTCACTCTGTCTGACTTTTTTGGGTTATCCCAGGTTCTCTACACATATGCTGCTATGTATGATAATTCTATGTAACTGTATTTGTGTATACCTGAATAAATTTACTTACTTACTTACTAACTTGCTGTAATTTCACCACCCCTATTCAATCATGCCATAAAATGGAAGATCACTGAACTGGTTTAAATAATATGTGTTTTGTGAGTGATCACTTTAACATTTGCTACCTTTCTTGCTGAATGTAAGATTGTATTTATAACTACACAAGAAGTCCTACTTAATGCTATGTCTAGTTCTTAAGTAGTTCTTACAGTCAGTTGCTTGAAATACACTATATAATCAGTGGTTTTTCTTTTATGCTTGTTTTACTTATGCACCTACCCATGTATCTACATTAGCTGCTTGCTCAAAGAAATAACATTATTGTTGGCATTAGACTGGTTATCTTAAAGTTATGTAGCATTACTCCCCCCCCCCACCCGTATACCTGGAGGGTGTTCTGTGTCAATGCCCCTACGGCTGATCGATGACCAGGCCTGGTGGTGGATCAGGGCCTGATCAATCAGGCTGTTACTGTTGCGTGCATGCAAACTGATGTATGAACCACAGTTTAAAACAAAATAAACCTAACTGAACAATGCACTGAAAAGCAAGAAAACAGTTTGAGTTGCAACTCACCTTTGCATAGCTTTGATATCTGGAAGCACATCTGTGATCTGATTGTTTCCAAGATACAAATATTTAAGTCCATTCATTTCATACAACTGATTAGGCATTCTTGTCAGTAGGTTTCCACTTAGGTTCAATTCCCTAAGCTTAGTGAGAACTGACATGTCTTTAGGGAGACCATCATCAGTCAAACTGTTATTGTGCAACAACAATGTCTGTAACTCTGGCAGCTGAAGCAGAAAGTCATTGACGTGTGTCAGGTTATTACTGGACAGATCTAAACTTCGTAGCTTGGAAAACTTCATAATCTCGAAGGGTAAGGTTAAGAGCATGTTGTGTTGCAGCAGGAGTTTCTGTGTGACTGTATCGTGAATGTTGTCGAGGTCTGTGTCTGTGAGTGAGGAGTGAGAGAGTCTGGTGTTGAGGTCCTCTATGCCAGTCCTGGGACGAGTCCCACCATCACTGCCTCCCTCACTCTCCTTCCCATTACTGGTGCCTGGTGTTGCATAGTATTGCACATCCCTGCGTTGCAGATGTTGCTCCCGGACACTGTTCTTGAGGTGCACAGCCAGGGAGTCAGTGTCCAGCATCAAGTAAGACAAGTCCAGACTGGAGGACTCCACAGTGTTCTCACTGTCAGAGCTCTCAGACGAGTAATACATGTTGACAGCCATATTTAAAGGGTCCACAAAATACAGATGGTTAGAAGAGAGTGGAGCATGCGAGTGTCAGCAGAGGTGGACTAAGAGCCACATAGCTACTAGGTGGGGCCAGCACAGCCCTGGCAACTGACTGTGTTTATTTACGTCACAGTTGTCTCAACCTCTGGCCACACAATGAAAAACTAATGGATAACCTCTTATCTCTGGCCTCGTCTACAGTACTGGGTGGCCTTAACCTCAAATATATGTTTTTCTGTTTTAGGATTTTTCCCTAAAAGTCATTTATTACAATTATTGCTTATAAAATACATAGATGGCTAAAGTCTGTATTCTGATCACGTGATTGCTTAGTGATACTTTTTTTTTTTGGTTAACCAAGTTAGTGCTACATGCAGTCTCAATATTTCTAGCAATATAACAGTTAATTCTTTGGTATTTTAATACATCTAGTACTACCAGTAGCCTATTAATAAATAATGTGCTATAATGCTGATACTGTGGAAATACTGGAGGTGCATTTCCACGGTATCAGCTATACAAATACGTACAATTTAATATTAATGTCAGTCATTGCCAGGAGTTATCTGACCTCTACGAGTTTAGCGCTTCCCCCATGAGTACAATACAATTCATCATACAAACTAATTTAAAATTATCGTGACATGACAATAAAGTTGGAAGCGAGCATTACACAGCTTGAAATATGCTTATCAGCATACAAGACACGAGTCACAACACGTGTTTTAAACAGATCCTAACACATCATCTGATTTACCAGCAATGTTTTTAATAATATTAGCACCATATAGCACGGATAAGATTTATGAAAAGCTGAGCAGTGAAGATGACATATATTTCTATGCAAAAGCTTAGATCATCAGTAGATTGGAAAGTGCTCATGACTTGACGAGATATATGTCAGGTAGCCATAATTATATATTCAGACCTGACATTCAAAAATAATTGGGATAGTCCATTTAATTTACACAAGGTTCATGTCCCTGGACCCATTACGTACCTCTGTAATCTGTAAATACCTTTGTAACTTGTCATGATTGTGACCAGACTTACCTGGAGTTCATTACCTTTGTAAATTGTGAGTTCATTACCTTTGTAAATTGTGAGTTCATTACCTTTGTAAATTGTGAGTTCATTGCCTCTGTAACTTGCTCAGCTGTCAAAACTTTGGAGTCCAGTCCCTGGACCAATTATGTACCTCTGTAATCTTTTGACTACCGCCCACAGGATGGGTATGGGGTGCATAATAAACATATTAAACTAACTAAACTAAACTACCTATATATACTTAAAATATATGTCGTTGCAGAGATCGCGTTTTAGCTCCTGGCCCGCCTTTTAACTTGACACCCCATCTCTATATTATCTTCTATCCTTGTGGACCTTGTCCTTCCGCTTCCCAACCACCCTGAGGATGAACAAATACTTCCTGATATCCCTGACTCGTCAGTATCTCCATCTTCTAACTGTACACCATTACTTGTTTCCTGTTTATGTCTACCCTGTTATTCCTTTTAACTATTTTGTACTACCTCTAGTTCCTCTGCCCTCTCGTGTTGTCAAATTCACTTCCTTACTATATTATGTTTGGTAGCAGAGCAGGAGATGCACAAATTAACATTAAGATTGACAACACTCTAATTACCAGAAATAATGGGGGAAAATTCCTAGGTTTATACCTTGACAACAACCTGAATTTCAGCACCCATATCCAGCATATAGCCAAAAAAGTATCCAAAACGGTTGGGATCCTCTCCAAGATACGATACTATGTGCCGCAAAATGCCCTTCTCACACTATACCACTCACTTATTTATCCATACCTCACCTACGCTATTTGTGCTTGGGGATCAACTGCAGCAACACACCTAAAGCCAATAATAACCCAACAAAAAGCTGCAGTAAGAATAATCACTAAATCCCATCCCTGGCAGCACACCCCCCCACTCCTCAAAGATCTAAACTTACTCCCAGTTCAGTACATCCACACTTACTACTGTGCAATCTATATCTACAGGGCTTAACTTAAACTCTAATATCAACCTTGACCTAAAACGCTTTCTTGATAGTTGTGACAGAACCCACAGGCATAACACCAGAAACAAACATCTCTACGACATTCCCCGTGTCCGACTAAACCTTTACAAAAATTCAATGTATGTCAAAGGCCCTAAAATCTGGAATACCCTACCTGAGAACTCTAGAACTGCAGACACCTTCATCACCTTCAAAACTACCATTAGAAAACATCTTATCTCCCTGATACACCCCGTCAACTAACTACACGAATACCACCTGGTGGTACACACTTACACTCGCTCACTCATTTGACCATAAACAGAAACAGAAATATTAATCTCAGTCTTAAAATAATGAATCCTGTGATACTCCAATACTGAAACTATATACTGTGCCAAAACAAAAGCATTTACATTGCTAAACTCACAAACTAGTATTTAGTCACTTAGCCATAATACCAACTTACCTCATAATTTGTAATATTTTACGATTAAGAATAAAACTAAGTATGCCCGAAATGCCTAGCCATGCTAAGCGTTCTAGTGGTACACTCTGTAATCACAATTTTACTACATGTAAACCAAACAATAACCAAATTTCTGTAAACTCAGCATTGTAATCCTTATAGAGAATAAACTTTGAATTTGAATTTGAATTTGAATTCAGCCTCTCCTCATAACTCATTCGTTACCTCTGAAATTAGCCTCGTTACATACCTGCTCACTCTCCAAGATCTTAACATGCTTCGTCAGTTATGAGTTCCATACTGGTGTTGTAACTTGTAAACTCCAAGAAAATCACCTTGTCTACTTAAGCTAGACAATCTGATGACAGTTAAAAAATAACGCCGTGGAAGACTAACTCATATTAAAGCCTATAGGTAGCTGGATTGCTAGCGCACTCAGCTTACACATTAAAGTCCGTGGTCCGATCCCCGATACGGGTGGAAACATTAGGACGTGTTTCCTTAGGACATCTGCTTTCTGTGTTCACCTATCAGTAAAATAGGTACCTGGTTGTTAGTCGACTGGTGTGGGTCGCATCCTGGAACAAAATTGACCTAATTTACCCGAAATGTTCTGCATAACAAGAGACTTTCTGTATTGTAATGTCATTGATGTCAGCTAGGCTTGTATACCTTGTACATGTAATTGCAGAAATAGACCACTATTATACTTATTCCCGAAGGTGTATCTCTGTCTAAGAGATTGCCAGAATGTTTTTCTTCCTCCAACCTTTTGATGTTAATTTGCTTGCAACTCAGGAACACCTATCCAATCGGCTTCAAATTTTCAATGCTTGTGTACGGTAATGAGGACCAAATTCTTGGAACAATTGGTGTTCACGTGCCCAAGATGTTGAACCCATTCAAAACAGTGTTCCACATATCATGCTGTGTATTTTGTTAAGGTTAGGAACCAAAACCAGTATGGTACTTGGGATAGTGAATATAATTTTGTAGTAGTAACTTCTGTAGGCGGTCAGGCGTCAAACACCTTTTATTATACAGAAGGGATTGCTTGAACATGTCAAGGCCCAGTCTTGGTATGAATCAGTTCAGGAAGGGCTTAAGGGTTCCTCATAAATGAAGCTAGAGAGGGAGGAAATTTTTTTCTGTACAGTTAACATTTTTATATTTTATATTCACATAAATTACTTAAGTTTACATCACTCCTATTGTATCTTTTTATTGTAACTAAGTTTTATGTAGTTCAGTTACTTGTCTTCAGTTAAGGTTATTGTGGATATATTATTATAATCACAGGGAAGCACTAAACCCATAGGATTATACAGTGCATATGGGGGGGGGGATGGAAGGTATTCAGGCTCAGTTCAGGGAACTGGAGCACAGATCCAATTTCCTAGATCAAGAGCCCCTCACCAGCATCAAGGAACCTCCCTTGAGGGGCAGGTTATTGTGGAAAATTTCAGATTTTCCTAAATTCAGCATGTATAAATTTTAATAGAATAATTGTGTAATTAAATATGATACTGATTTGACGCTTCTGAGAAATTTTGAGTGATAAGGGGGGGGGGCAGCTGTGGAGTGACCCAGGAGAGATGCCATTTGTAATTTGTGGGCACTGGTTGTCATGGAAAATTCAGCTAAATCTGGCATCTTTGTGACCAAATTGGGGTTTTTCAGCCTTAAATTTGTAATGGGAAACCTGTGTTAATGTCTCCTGCTGAAAAATTTGGGGATGAGAAACTTGGGGTTTTAACTCAAAAAAATTACATGTGGTGGGGGAAGAAAAAGGTACGACCTTACTTACGGGGAAAAGGTCCCCCTTAGCCTTTCTTTTAGATCTTAACTGGCAGGGTTTGGCGGGGGTGGGTGCAATCCTTTTACGTAATTAAGTGGAAATTGGTTTCTTTTGTGCCCCCAGAAGCCTTTCATAAAAAGGAAGCGCTAAACCAAAAGGGGGTATACAGGCAACCCTATTATTACAATCTGAATTTATTAATTTAATGTCATATCTAGCTTTTGTGGTGTGATGGGGGAGTGGGATTGGGAAGGTCCTGTGATGCTGTGACTTAGCCCCCCTTTTCACTCAAATTATTGCGGTAATCCCTTTTGTAAACCCCCTGCGGGTTTTATTTGCCCCACATAAAAAATAATAATAATTCACTGCTAAAATCGGGACTGTTCTTACTGTTTTCTTACAGGGTTTAAAGATCGATATTACAAAGCTCCAACGGAAAAAAAGTCACTTGTATGACATTTTTGGGTTTTCATAGGTAATTTAAGAAATTTAAAAAAAAGGGTTATAACAATAACCAAATTTTTTTTAAGGGGAGGACTGGTAAGCTGGCAAGGGGGCCGGTCAAATGACCAAAGCCCGCGCGGGTTTTGTGACAGACCCATGTCAGGAAAACATTCCCGTTTTCCCAAAAAATCTACCTAACCTCACCTGATAATTGAAACTGCCCCAATTTGTGTAAACCGTATTTATTTTGGCCCCTTTCTGTAAATTTACGTACTTACTAATCCTGGAATGGCTCAATAACTTCCACAATCCCAGTGGCCCTGCTTAAAATTTTTAAAAAGATGAAAAAAACACAATGACAAAGGTGACTTCAAACATGTAAGTTTAGTATGGGAATTTTGGTGTAGTGTGAATTTTTTGTCCATTAAAAACATGTCAAATTTTATTTTACTTTCTGAAAGGTGATTTGCAGAAATTATTGGTTGTGTTGAATTTTTCAACATTTTTTAAAAGGTAGCACATGAGCAAGTGTAGATGGAAAAAAGGGTTTTGTAATTGCTTTTCTTGCCTGAAACAGCCCGTCTTGTAAGGGGTAATAAGGAGTGTTTCTTTTGTTAGTGTTTGTAGTATTTTAATGTGGTGGAAGAATTGCTGGGCGAAATGTTTGGTTCCCTAGTATATCTAGGGTTTTCCCCACTTGTGTATTCTTATCTTTTTGGCTTATCTGTATATGTTATGCCCAAGAAAAAAGGTATGAGGAGCCTACTAGATGAGGAAAAACCAAGTAGAAAAACAAGGGGGGGGGGGGTGTGGAGTTTTAGTGTTTAAGCGACTTTTATGCAATACATATATGCACTGCATGCTCTCACTAAGTGTTGGTGTTAGTTGCTAGAGGGATATCAGCTGTAAAGCTCTGCCTCATTAAGAAGTGCTATTTCTCCATTTAGAGCATCTGTTGAGAAAAGAGTGCAAATGGTTTCTTTTGATTTGCCTTTTTTTTTGACAAGGGTGATGATAAATAAAGTAGGTAAATGGTGTTGCTTGGGAGTTTTTCTTATACTACTTTGTTGTCTGTGTTCTCTATAGGGCATAAATAATCTGTAGATGGAATACTTTCCATTGGTAAAGGTTACTGCAATGGGATTGTTTAAATAGAACTATCAGTCGGCTGTAGTCCATAAGCAGCCTAGAATGTCTAAAGTTTCAAAATACTCCAGGAAAGAAACCAATTTTATTAATAAAATTAGCACATGCCAGTGTACACAATTTAACTTCAAGAAACTGCTTCCCTTGAGGAAAACACATCAGTATTAAAAGTTCAAAGTTGACCATTATTATTATCATACAGTGGTACCTTGAATTTCAAACAGCTCCCAACTCGAACAGTTATGAAAGTGTATTTTTGGGGGTCTGAAATGGACTAATCTAATTTACATTATTCCTTTTAGGAACAAATTCGTTCGGTAACAGCACTTGAACAGCCTTCTGGAACGAATTAAGGCCGAAATTCGAGGTACCACTGTAATCATAATTAAGTGCTAAACCCACAAGGGTCATACAGCATTCTTAAAGTTGACCAGAAGATACATTTTCCAGTTATTGCATGGCGTCCAACAAAATCTGTGCCTACACAGCCTTAATCCATGAAATATTTAATTTTATAGCATCAACCATTGAAGACTGATGCCATTCATAATAGTTATATATTAATCAGAGGAAAATGATACCCCCGTAGGAGTCATATAGCACCTGTGGAATGGGAGGCATTCAAAATCAATCCAAGCAAGGGGAAGATAAGTCCAGTTCCTTGGATCAAGAGGCCCTCACCAGTATCAAGGCAAAATAATACAATAAGGTAAAATAACACTATACCATTTCAAGATTAAAATTGGCAGAATGACATCTGCGCATTCCATTAAACATACCAACCTTCTTCTAATAAAGATACACGAATGTTGAAATTTTGAAGCCAATCAGAAGGACTTATTTCCACCTATCATATGGAAACAAAATTTGGGAATGGTCTATGTAGCATAGGGCATCCATGAATGCAAATAGTCCCATAAATCTTGCCCAATTATTATTAGAATCAAAAAGAAGTGCTAAACCACAAGGGTTATACAGCAAATCTTGCCCAGAATACATTACATGAGCATTGAAAATCTGATGCCAATCAACTATGGTGTATTAAACAGAAATTTCCAAGAAAGCAAATGAAAATGCTGCTGAGAATGTTCCAAAAAATAAAGTCTCCCATTGGTAAACTTCAAAACACCATAAAACTGCTGATTTTTATTTCCTGCAAATTTACTTTTCTCATTTACATTCTAAAGTTCTCTACAATCCTGTAAGAGAAAAAAATATTTGATATTATTTTACAAAATCCAATTTTACATTCGCAACAATGCCATGAACTGTACTTTTAAATAAACCTATATTCTTTTCTTCTTAATTAATATCCACACCATATTTAACCCTTTGACTGCCGCAACCCCCAATCCTGAGGTGTCTCCTGGTGTCGCAAAATTTAAAAAAAAAAAAAATTATTTTTTCTTATGAAATGATAGAGAATCTTTTCCCGATTGTAATGACACAAAAAAAACGAAATTTGATGGAAAACTGACAGAATTATGCTCTCGCGAAGTTAGCGACATCGGCGATATTTACAATCGGCAATTTCGCCCACTTTGAGCCCTATTTTCAGCTAATTCCATTGTTCCAGTCGCCCAAACTCATAGCTATTTCTTTAGAACTCCATTTTTTTCTATTGAGTACAAGAAACTGCCCATTTACCGATTTCAACTACCCAATAATGTGGTCAGAAATTTGCAATTTGGCCAATTTCACGAAAACTAAAAAATATGACAATTTCAAAATAAGGTCCAGAATGAACAATGCAGACATTCGTGGCTCTAAAATAACATTTTCATCGTTCATCAGTCATGTCTCCAGGTCCCTCTGATATTACTCTTGCTTTCTATTTTGAATTTTTATTCAAACAAAAAATAGAAGACTTACTATTATGCAGACTACTGCAATACTGTAATAATTGTATAAATAACATCAACCCATTCATGACTGCATATTAGAATGGCTAGTTGGACATTTATTGGACAATGACATCATTTGTTTACTTTTGAACATTGGCAAAAATCAAACACTTTTCCTACTTTGAGCTCCATTTCCAGGTTCTTTTTATAGTAAAATCAATCAAAATCACCTCTACTTCTGTAATATGTTTTCCATTCGATCAAATGAGACCAAGAAAATGAGAATACAACCATAAATACTATACAAAAATAGACCACAAAGTCGGCATTTTAATTAAAAAAAAACGGTCAGTTTTTTTTTTTCTCATTATGCACTGCGTGCTCCAGGATTTTTTTATATGGTGCACACTGACCACACAGACCCATTCTCTCACATGTGGGCCTACCAGCTTTCTCCTGCTTGATTTGAAGCCGCTAGAATTTATGAGTATATATACGTCAAACACGGTACCTCGTAAGACGTATATATACGGCCGCGACAGTCAAAGGGTTAAGGTAGTAATCATTTTAAAATGCCATTGATGATGAACTATGAAAAATAAGTATTGTGCTGTGGTGATTATTCCAATTTAAAATAAAAGTTACAAGTCTTCTTATATTCCATTGCCATCACATGGAATAAATTACAACTGTCTTATATATTTATTCTTAATTCTTTCAAGCAAATTTAATATCCATTATTTCAAGAAATAGATTACAGTATTATACTGTACAGCACATATTCACAAAAAAATGTTCTAAATTTCTATGCATCTGAGATAGTGTATTTTGGAAAATAGCCGACATTCATATATGTATTATTTTTTCCTCACACTACCGAGTGAACATAGTGGTGGTTCCAGAATGTGTGTAGAGGATTAGAGATGGCTACATTTTTGATACTATTATTTGGTTTGTCTTTGGGTGGGCTGGAGATTACGGGAGGCTTCATACCCTCTTTCGCTCCCTTGATGCTGCCACTGAGTGGACAACTTTATCTTTGCTGAGGCCCATTATCATAAAAGCAGAACATTTCTCAATTTATTATTTAATTTGTTGCATTTTAACAAATAAAAATTACTAAGTAAGTGTATCCTCATTTCTGATATATTCTCCAATATCTGCCTGATGGAAACATATAATGTCCATGGGATCAGAATGCCGGCACTCTGCTGTTGCCTTAGCTGCTACACCAAAACCCTGTAATAGAAAATATTTTTAACAAGAAATACAATTTTAGGGTGGTAGAAATACTGAGGGAAGAATGAGCCCACTTGTAGGAAGATAAAAACAGAAATATTGGGCAGAGGCCACATCAATGATGACAGGTTGGAGAGAAATCAATACCACTGGCATTGGTCCCACAGATATCTACCCCTTCTATGGCTGTGTGCACAAAAATATACTCCATGTGCCAAGAAGGATGCATGTAAGTCACCATCTAAATCTAAGAATGATATACATTACTCACGAAATCGTAATGATACGATTGCAAACAAACCATACGACGGTCTGGAGTTTTGAGACTCTCTGATCATGGGTTCTATCCCTGCCCATGGTATGGTTTATGATATACATTACATGTGGAGAAAGATATTTTCAATAAATTACTTTTTTTTTATGTGTTCCAAACAGCAGTGTGTAGATTTCATGGAATCAAAAATGTTAAATAAACATACATAGAAATTTATGCAAAAAAGCTTACCAATGGAACGTCCTTTGAAGAATAAACAACAACACCAGCATATTTTGGAGTATTTTCTGAGATCCGTGACAAACCAGACTTGTAAACGTGATTCCCATACATGAAATTTTGTTCAGCAGACTCTTTCATCCAAATTTTGTTCTGCAAGACAATAAAACTTTCAATAATGCTATACTACACTTGAACTTCATTTTTGCTATTAGTGGAATTACTGTAATTTCTTCATCAAAACTGTAAAGCAGTGCAGGACTGTGTCTGATTCAAGATTAAGAGCAAGTGCTGTTGGTTGTACTGGTCAGAAAGGTACAATATACCCTACTTTTCTATTAAAAAGAAAACTAATTTGGCATTACTTTCAACAAACCAAATACAGCATTGTATTTAAAAGCATTGTCAACAAAGCTTGTACATGCATGACAGTTGCTACAGATTTTTATAAAATTGCATGTGTACCTTGTCATTTTTATATACAGTACATAACATAATGAATTTATACAAAAGCAGGCTTGTGTGATCATGTTAGATGGGAGTGAGAGGAGACATGTGGTTTTTATGGCTTGACATTCTATTGGAGTGTGAGCAGGGTAACATTTATGAAGGGATTCAAGACAACAGGTTAGCAGTTCATAAATGTGATGTCTGTTCACTTCTGTCAAGACAGCAATTGAATTAGTTATACTGAATGTATTTTCTCTATTGGGTCAACCTACCTTGGTGGGAGACAACTAGTATGCTTAAAAAAAAATGTTTATAACAAGTTCATAAAGTAAAAATTTCAAACATTTAAAGAAAGAATTTGTGGTACTCTACCATCTGAGTTTAGAGTATGAAGTTACCTCATTTAATAATAAAGATACTATATAATTTAGTATTTTTCCCAGCAGCTGCATATTAGGAAGAAATCACACAAGTATGCACTGATGTCTGCACATACCAGGACCTGCAAATTTCTTGATTTTTCACAATTCTGAAACCTCTAGACAAAACCCTATAGAATGTTTTACGTAAGTACACTATGGAGGAGGAGCTTGGACATGGGTGAAATTCCACAGTCACTTAAAACAACGGATATAGCCCCACTCCATAAAGGTGGCAGCAAAGAATTAGCTAAGAACTATAGACCAATAGCTCTGACGTCCCACATCATAAAAATCTTTGAAAGAGTGCTAAGAAGCAGGATTGCAAATCACCTGGATTCCCAAAATCTGCACAATCCAGGGCAACATAGGTTCAGGGCAGGTCGCTCCTGCCTCTCACAACTACTGGATCATTATGACATGGCCTTGGATGCACTGGAAGAAAATCAGAATGCAGATGTAATATACACAGACTTTGCAAAAGCATTTGACAAATGCGATCATGGCATAATAGCCCATAAAATACGTGCTAAAGGAATAACGGGGAAAGGGGGGGAGATGGATCTTCAACTTCCTAACAAATCGAACACAGAGTAGTGGTCAACAGAGTTAAATCGGAGGCTGCCATAGTGAAGAGCTCTGTTCCACAAGGCACAGTACTCGCCCCCATCTTATTCCTTATCCTCATATCAGACATAAACAGAGATATACACCACAGCACTGTATCATCCTTTGCGGATGATACTAGGATCTGCACGAGGCTGTCATCTGCTGAGGACGCGGTTAACCTCCAAGAAGATATAAACAAAGTTTTCCAGTGGGCAACGGTAAACAATATGATGTTCAATGAGGACAAATTCCAACTACTCCGTTATGGAAAACTGGAGGAGATAATAACTAGAACAGAGTATACTACTGACTCCGGCCATACAATAGAGCGGAAAAATAATGTAAGGGACCTGGGAGTAGTAATATCTGAGGATCTCACTTTCAAGGATCACAACAGTGCCACGATCGCACGTGCAAAGAAAATGATAGGATGGATAATGAGAACTTTTAAAACGAGAGATGCCAAGCCCATGATGATCCTTTTCAAATCACTTGTTCTCTCTAGGCTAGAATACTGCTGTACATTAACATCTCCATTCAAAGCAGGTGAAATTGCAGATCTAGAGAGTGTACAGAGATCCTTTACTGCACGTATAAGTTCTGTCAAGCACCTTAACTACTGGGAACGCTTGGAAGCACTTGACTTGTACTCGTTGGAACGCAGGAGGGAGAGATATGTCATAATCTACACTTGGAAAATCTTGGAAGGAATGGTCCCAAATCTGCACACAGAAATCACTCCCTACGAAAGTAAAAGACTGGGCAGGCGATGCAAAATGCCCCCAATAAAAAGTAGGGGCGCCATTGGTACACTAAGGGAAAACACCATAAGTGTCCGGGGCCCAAAACTGTTTAACAGCCTCCCATCAAGCATTAGGGGAATTGCCAATAAACCCCTGGCTGCCTTCAAGAGAGAGCTGGACAGATACCTAAAGTCAGTGCCGGATCAGCCGGGCTGTGGCTCGTACGTTGGACTGCGTGCGGCCAGCAGTAACAGCCTAGTTGATCAGGCCCTGATCCATCGGGAGGCCTGGTCATGGACCGGGCCGCGGGGGCGTTGATCCCCGGAATAACCTCCAGGTAACCTCCAGGTAATGATAAAATATACATCTGTATAAATTAACGAGGAACTGTATAGAATACAGATCAGTCATCACTAATCCGGCACTAATTTCAGCAAGCATAATTTCAAACTTCCGGGGTCGCCACACCAATCTGACATTACTGTTTGGTGGCGCTACTTGCTGAATAAGTCATACCAATTTTTTTTTTCATTTATTGTTAGAACCTGGTTACTTTTAGCCCTAGCCATGGTTCCAACAAATAAAAGAAATGCTTCTCATTGTGTAAAGCACGTACACCATACATTGCCCATAAAAGATAAGGTGGCTCTGAAGGCACTGTGGGCCACCATGAGCTCAGCTCACTCATAAGCTGCAACTGGTAAATTTGGGCCTACATATAAGAGAATAGGTCTGTGTGGTATATGTGGACTATATAAAAAAAATCTTGCAGCATGCAGTGCATGAGAAAAAATTGTGACTGTGTTTTTGGTGTAAAACAGCAAATTTGCTGCGTGTTTTTGTATGGCTTTTATGGTTGTATTCTCATTTTTTTGGTCTCATTTGATAGAATGGAAGATACATTCCAGAAACAGAAATTATTTTCATTGGTTTCATGACAGAAAGTACCTTGGAACTGAGTTCAAAGTAGCAGAAATGTTCAATTTTTGCCGATGTTCAAGAGTAAACAAATCATGTCACGCGTCCAATACATGTCAACTGATGGGTCTAATATGCTTTCACGAATGCGCTGATATTATTGATATCATTTTTACAATAATGCAGTAGTCTGCATAACAGTAAATCTTATATTTATTGTGTGAATAAAAATTCAAAATGGAAAGCAAGCGTAATATAAGTGGAGGCTGGAGGCATGACTAATGAACAGAGAAAATGTTATTTTAGTGCTAGGAATGTCTGCACTGTTTATTCTGAACCCTATTTTGAAATTGGCATCACTTGAAATTTGTGTGAAATTGGCCAAATTTCAGATTTCTGACCACTTTATTGGGTAGTTGAAATATGTAAATGGGCTACTTCTTGTTCTTAATCGACAGCATATATGGAATACTAGCAAAACAGCTATGAGTTTGGTAGACTGGAACAATTGCATGGGCCAAAAATAGGGCGTAAATTCGACGAAATCGCCAACGTGTAAATATCACTGTTGAGCTAAGTGTATTCTAACCTAACCACTCTGTAATCCGACAAAATCACTAATCCAGCACCCTACAGGTTCCAGTGATGCCAGATTAGTGATGGTCAACCTGTTTTACAGTTATACTGCATTGAATAATTTCTGAAGAAATCTGGCACATTCATTCACACATATATGAAGAGCATCCTATCATGTAGCAGTGTATCAGATAAAGACACAAATTAGTCCTATATATATACCTGACAATAGGGATGAAGGAAGTCCAATGCTGTAATATGTACAAGGAACTTCCCTCCTTTTGTTATCTTGCCAAAACAAACTCCTAGTGATATAATGTTTTCATGAGGTACAGTGGAGGCAAATTTCACAATATCTTCTTTAACATAGTAGACTCTACCATTGTGAAGACGGAAGCAATAAAGTCCATCAGAGCGTTCAAGCAAGGCCTTGATATTGGAACCAATGCTGTTAAAAAAAAAAAAAAAAGGGAAATACTTGTAAATTTCTTCAGTTATTAATAATACAATAGCCTGAAGTTTACCTTGAGAATTTTAAAATTGCTAAATGCTTAACTTTGTAGTACATTTTTTTTGCAAAAATAATAGGCATATGATGCATATGTTAGGAACCCACTGGTTAATGATGAGTTCATCTGCTCAGTTTTGAGCCTGACCTACTATGTAAAGTATCAGAAATCAAGTAAATTGTACAATGGAGACAGTTTTATGTTGTGCATATGTGGAAAAACCCAACTATCATTGGGAAAAAAATAGTGACCCATCTAAACCTCCAGGTAAACTCCAGGCTTTACTCAATGTTGGAAAATTTACATAATAAAAAACTCAAGCCTCTGAACTCAACTCAACTACATAATTATATAATTCATCCATATTAAGAATTCACAACAATGTTTTTTTCTGCAAAGCCAAATATACAACATGCATAATCAATTTTCTATATGATATTTCATAACTAGGTTCAGTTGTGTACCTTATGTCACGGTTAATAACCGAAATGCTGTAAATTATTATATGTTGATACATAACTTTGAAATAAATTATTATAATCATGGGGAAGCGCTAAACCCGTAGGACTATACAGCGCCTGTGGGGGGGATACTTTGAGGAGACTGAAATCAAGTCATTATCATTATTATTTTTAGGAGAAACGCTAAATCCACAGGGGTTATTAGGGTAGGTTGGGTAATATTCGTCAGGAATCAGGATGGACAAGTGATTCAAAGTTATACAGCGTGTGTGGAATGGGAAGCAATCATGTTTAATTCCCTTAACCAACAGCTGCTCACTAACATTAAGGAACCTCCCTGGATGGGAAAAGAAGAGGAAGATAGCTTCATTTCCTTGGACCAAGAGCCCTTACCGCCTTCCTTAATTAATTTCTTACCCAGCACATATGACTTACTAGTGCTTCAGCTTGCTGAAAACCACGGTAATTTCTTCATTTTTTAATGGCCTCATCACTACTACTGCTTCAGGACACGTGTAATTTATTCAGGTTTCTTCTCCTCCCGATGACTGCACGAGCTGTGATGTAGAGTGACTGTGTTGGTTCTGTGACTTAAGTGATGTCTGTACACAATTCACAGAGCAGTTAGCTTGCTGTTCCTAACGTCTCGTGGAGCAACAACACGCTGGCTGACACCTTCGTTGGGTTGAAAGATTACGACGGTCCAAGGGTTGTGTGGATCCTACTGCCAATGGTCCCCTGAACCCTACTGCCAAGGGTCCCCTGAACCCTACTGCCAAGGGTCCCGTGAACCCTACTGCCAAGGGCCCCGTGAACCCTACTGCCAAGGGTCCCGTGAACCCTACTGCCAAGGGTCCCGTGAACCCCTACTGCCAAGGGTCCCGTGAACCCTACTGTCAAGGGTCCCATGAACCCTACTGCCAAAGGTCCCGTGAACCCTACTGCCAAGGGTCCCGTGAACCCTACTGCCAAGGGTCCCGTGAACCCTACTGCTAAGGGTCCCGTGAACCCTACTGCCAAGGGTCCCCTGAACCCTACTGCCAAGGGTCCCGTGAACCCTACTGCCAAGGGTCCCGTGAGCCCTACTGCCAAGGGTCCCGTGAACCCTACTGCCAAGGGTCCCGTGAACCCTACTGCCAAGGGTCCCGTGAGCCCTACTGCCAAGGGTCCCGTGAACCCTACTGCCAAGGGTCCCGTGAACCCCTACTGCCAAGGGTCCCGTGAACCCTACTGCTAAGGGTCCCGTGAACCCTACTGCCAAGGGTCCCGTGAACCCTACTGCCAAGGGTCCCGTGAACCCTACTGCCAAGGGTCCCGTGAACCCTACTGCTAAGGGTCCCGTGAACCCTACTGCCAAGGGTCCCCTGAACCCTACTGCCAAGGGTCCCGTGAACCCTACTGCCAAGGGTCCCGTGAGCCCTACTGCCAAGGGTCCCGTGAACCCTACTGCCAAGGGTCCCGTGAACCCTACTGCCAAGGGTCCCGTGAACCCTACTGCCAAGGGTCCCGTGAACCCTACTGCCAAGGGTCCCCGTGAACCCTACTGCTAAGGGTCCCGTGAACCCTACTGCCAAGGGTCCCGTGAACCCTACTGCCAAGGGTCCCGTGAACCCTACTGCCAAGGGCCCCGTGAGCCCTACTGCCAAGGGTCCCGTGAACCCTACTGCCAAGGGTCCCGTGAACCCCTACTGCCAAGGGTCCCGTGAACCCTACTGTTTACCTGGAGTTTACCTGGAGAGAGTTTCGGGGGTCAACGCCCCCGCGGCCCGGTCTGTGACCAGGCCTCCTGGTGGATCAGCGCCTGATCAACCAGGCTGTTGCTGCTGGCTGCACGCAAACCAACGTACGAGCCACAGCCCGGCTGATCAGGAACTGTCAAGGGTCCCGTGAACCCTACTGCCAAGGGTCCCGTGAACCCTACTGCCAAGGGTCCCGTGAACCCTACTGCCAAGGGTCCCGTGAGCCCTACTGCCAAGGGTCCCGTGAACCCTACTGCCAAGGGTCCCGTGAACCCCTACTGCCAAGGGTCCCCTGAACCCTACTGCCAAGGGTCCCGTGAACCCTACTGCCAAGGGTCCCGTGAACCCTACTGCCAAGGGTCCCGTGAGCCCTACTGCCAAGGGTCCCGTGAACCCCTACTCCCAAGGGTCCCGTGAACCCTACTGCTAAGGGTCCCGTGAACCCTACTGCCAAGGGTCCCGTGAACCCTACTGCCAAGGGTCCCGTGAACCCTACTGTCAAGGGTCCTGTGAACTCTATTGCCCAGGGTAGTGTATGTCTTTCAGTATGTACTAACATATGTGGTTGCAGGGGTCGATTCACAGCTCTTGGTCTTCTGCTCCTGGTAGTGTGTAGATTCGGGACTAGGCTCTCTAGTACTTTTCATGTATATATTAAAATGTACCTCTCTCTCCTCTCCAGTGAGTACATATTTAAGAGTATGAGGTGTTAAGTAATTTAAATGGTTTATTGGTTCTATGCAGGCCGTAAATGATCTCTGTATCTCTTCCATCGCTGACTTTTTTGGGGGTTATTCTAAGCAATCTACACATATGCTGCTATGTATGAGGATTTATGTAACTATTTATGTGTACCTATACCTGAATAAACTTACTTTCTATATTTCTCCTGCCCTGAATTGGGCCGTCAATATTGAACAACATTCTTAACGAAAGAGCACTATTTCCCTAGTTTTGAAAGCTAATAGGTAAGTTTATTTAGGTGCAGGTACACATAAGTACAATTATCATACATAGTCTAGCATATGTGTAAATTACCTAGGATAATCAAAAAAAAAAAAGTCAGACAGTGATTTATTTCCATTGGGATCATTATCCACCCCGCCACCTCCTGGCTGTAGTGACATTTGCCCTATGTGTTTCTTTTAAAGAAAGGTCAGCCTACATAATTACTCTCAGATCTTTTTGCTCCTTCCGTTCTATTTGACGACCCTCTTGAGTTTTGCATACAGTGTCCCATTTGAGTTCTTTGTTCTCTCCATATCTAAGCAGCTGGAACCTAATCCCCCCTCAACGAAGGTTCCTTGATGTTGGTGAGGGGCTCTTGATTTAGGAAATTGGATCTGTGCTCCAGTTCCCCGAATTAAGCCTGAATGCCTTCCACATCCCCCCCCCCCAGGCGCTGTATAATCCTCCGGGTTTAGCGCTTCCCCTTGATTATAATAATAATAATGGAACCTAATCCCCATTGAAAGTAATGTTCTTCACTGCCCACTGGAAAACCCTGCTTTATATCTTCCAGCAATTTTTCATTGTCTTTTATCGAGGTGACTTTCATGCTTATTTTGGTGTCATCTGCAAATGATGATACAAAACTGTGACAGAGTATTTATATATTTGCTATAAACATAAGAAAAGGCAGGTGCCAGGAGCAGTGCCTTGGGGTTTAGTTAGTTTAATATGTTTATTATGCACCCCATACCCATCCTGTGGGCGGTAGTCAATTTATTATTATTATAATCAAAAAGAAGCGCTAAGCCACAAGGACTATACAGCGCTGCAGGGCAGGAAGGAAGTGAGGGCATCAGGTGGCAAAAGGGAGATGGATGAGTAATAGGTTACGGATGACAGCGGGGTAGTGGATGGTGAAAGGGTAAAGGGCAGCAAGAGACTGAACTAGAAAGGGTTGAGGGGAGTGCGAAAAGTATCATCAGAGTTTGTGGAGTAAATCAGTCGTTGTCAAGAAGTCAATGAGAGAGTCAGGATTAAAGGAGGGTCCATCAGCAAGAAGGGAAGGTAAAGAGAGAGTAGTAGAACGAAAGACGACGTTGGAGGTAAATTCTGCGTGCTCGTTGATAGAGAGGGCAGTCTAACAGAATGTGGCTAATCGATACTGGAACTTGACACTGCTCACAGAGAGGAACAGGGTGCCTCTCCATGAGATACCCATGAGTAAGACGAGTGTGGCCAATGCGAAGGCGGGAGAGAGTGGTCTCCCAACCTCGGCACTGATGACAAGAAGACGGCCAGTAACCTATGCTTGGTTTAATAGAATGAAGTTTGTTACCGAGCAGAGTTGACCAACGTTGCTGCCAATGGGTGCGAAGGTGGGTAGCTATTGCGGCAAAATAGTCCAGAAATGGAACATCTCGATAGGAAATTGGTAGGTCATGTACTGCTGACCGCGCAGTAGTGTCTGCCTGTTCATTGCCCTGTACGTCGACATGACCAGGGACCCAACAAAAAACAATATCTTTGTTTGGTAGAGATACGGCGTAGCCAAAGTTGGATACGGAGAACTAGGGGATGAGATGTATCAAATTTTCATATAGCCTGTAGAGCACTAAGGGAGTCTGAGACTACTACAAATGATGACACAGGCATAGATGCGATACGAATAAGTGCTGCAAGAATGGCATACAGTTCAGCAGTAAAAATGCTAGCTGAAGATAGTAAATGCCCCCGCACGATGCTGTCCGGAAACACTGCTGCGAATCCGACGCCGTCTGAAAACTTAGAGCCATCTGTGTACACAGCGGTGGCATGAGAATGGGAGTGGAAGTGATCAAGAAAAAGAGAGCGGGAAGCCACCATAGGCAGTTGAGCTTTCGAGCAAGGGAGTGAGAAAGAACAGACCCGAACAGCTGGAACTTCCCAGGGGGGTAGGGAAAAGTGAGATGCTACATGAACATATAAAGGTGGTAACTGAAGGGAAGACAAGAGTGAATGTAGGCGAAGAGAAAAGGGACGGAGCAAACAGGGGCGGCGAACGAATAAAGAATGTCTACTAATATCGGTGACCATTCTATAAATGGAAGGATTGTGTAGATCGTGAGAGCGTACATAGTAGTGAAGGCAATGGGCATCACGGCGATCAGACAAGGATGGAACATTCGCTTCTGTATAGAGGCTCTCAACAGGGGAAGAACGAAAAGCACCAAGGCACAAACGTAATCCTTGGTGATAGATAGAGTTAAGGCTAGAGAGAGTAGCAGGAGAGGCCGCGGAATAAATCTGGTCACCATAATCGAGTTTCGATAAAACGAGGGCTGAATGTAGCCGAAGCAGAGTTCGACGATCAGCTCCCCAGGAAAGATGAGCAAGGGTTTTAAGAAGGTTTAGCTGGCTGTGACAAGTTGCCTTCAGAGAGGTAATGTGAGGTTTCCAGGATAACCTACGGTCAAAGAGAAGGCCTAGAAACCTGACTATCACGTTTGGGGATACGGGAGCCATAGAGATACAAAGGATGATCGGAGATAACAGAGCGTCTAGTGAAAGTAATTTGGCGAGTTTTGGTACTTGAAAATTTAAACCCATGCGTGGTGGCCCAAGTGGAAACACGGTCGACCGCATGCTGGAGAGAAACTGCAATAAGATGACAGTCAGCGCCTGCACAAGCAATAGCGAAGTCATCAACATGATGACCAAATATTGGGTGAAAGAACAGAGGCCAAATCATTTATAGCAAGGAGAAACAGTGTTGTGCTTAGAACACATCCCTGAGGGACACCTTCAGCTTGGACAAAGTCCGGGGAAAGAACATTATTGACTCGAACACGGAAATGTCTGTCAGCTAAAAAGTTCTTAAGGAAGGATGGTAGATTGCCTCGGAGGCCTAAGGAGTGGGCCTAGGCCAAAATATTATACCTCCAAGTTGTGTCATATGCCTTCTCAAGGTCAAAAAATATGGCAATAACTGAGTGATTATTCGCAAAGGCATTACGAACATACGTATCC